ATAATGAGATACATATTATTTTTACCATCTGTAGAAAGATCATGTTGTGGATTCTTATGAATCTGTGGCAACCCCACTTTGCATTTTTCCAGTCATTGAGGTCTTCTCATATTAGTTTTCTTTCTAAACATGTGGATTCTGATTAATGTAAATACATACCAATTTGATTCAGGTTTTTTATCCACGAATTAGAGGATGCAATGCTGCAGCCGCCTGCAGCCGTGTAGTTCATCATTATCTCCATTTTTAACTCCTCCTCAATCTTGAGGTATTACCAAACTTCCTTGATTGACCAAACCCTAAATTATTGTCTGAACTCTGAATCATACTTTAAGCAGTAATCATTTCCATGTTGTCTTTTTCTAGTGATCTTGGTACTTAAGCATATATTTTGTTGCTAATACTAGCCTCGGTTGAAGGTCCTGTTGTTAACTGGCAAAAGGAGCACGTGTTTGTTGCGAAACCGCCCAATTGGAATTTCTGTTATTTTTCTGTAATTATGGCGGCCTTGTCGCATTCCGAGTCTGGACGCAAGTACTCATGGTGGTGGGACAGCCACATCAGCCCTAAGAATTCAAAATGGCTCCAAGATAATCTTACTGGTGTGTACTTACTTTCCCTTCTGCCCCACTGCCTGCTAAACAAACATATATATGATTTATCTAACAAAGCAAATTAAAACTTTATAAAATTTCAAAAAATGGCAAATAATAAAAAGAAGAAATGCTTGAACATTGTCGTAATCATTTGCACACTAGTGTAGTAGTGTATCAATGCATGTTTCTTGCCTTTACACCATATAAGTAAAAGTTCTTTTAATTCAAATTGTTATTTCACCACTAGACTAAACAATTCTTGGATTCAAATCAGATATGGATGCGAAAGTGAAGTCCATGATCAAGCTGATCGAGGAAGATGCTGATGCTGACTCGTTCGCAAGGCGGGCCGAGATGTACTACAAGCAAAGGCCCGAATTGATGAGGCTCGTGGAAGAATTCTACCGTGCTTACCGAGCCTTAGCTGAGCGCTACAATCACGCTACATGCGAGCTCCGTCATGCCCACCGAGCCCTTTCACGCGCCTTCCCACACCATATCCCACCCCCTGACCTTGCTGACAGCTTCTCCCCTTCTCGACCTCCAGATTCCAAATTTCCCGTCCGGGCTCTCTTCCAAAACGACGAAAACGACCTAGCTAATGAGGTTTTTCCAGAATCACCGAACGAGAGTCGAAGCCTCGAGGTAATTCTCGCTCGCGAGGCAGAACAAGCCAGAAAAGTCGAGCGGGAAGCTCGGGACCTGAAGAAGGCGCTTTTTAACGTGAAGGCTGAGAAGGAGGATGTGCTCGTGAAGTACCGGGAGTGTATGGAGAAGTTGTCGATTATGGAGGTCGGTCTTGATAACGCGGAGAAAAATGCAAAGAGGCTTGACGAGAAAGCTGGCCGAGCTGAAATAGAAGTTCAGACTTTAAAGGAGGCACTTGTGCAGTTGGAGGTCGAGAAGAATGCGAGATTGATTGAGCACGAGCAGTTTCTACACAAGATAGCTGATTTAGAGAAGGGGCTTGATATGAGAGCAGTAGAAGCGGAAAGTAAGGCTCGGGCTCTTATGGATGATGTTTCGAAACTCGAGGTCGAGAAAGAAGCTGTTTTGAGAAAGTACGAAGCGTGTTTAGGGAAAATATCGGCTCTTGAGGATATTGTTTGTATTACTGAGAACAAGGAGAGATTACTTAGGGAAAAAGCAGAAGCAGCCGAAAATGAAGTCGCTGGGCTTAAGAGGGCTCTTGCTGATCTGAACAATGAGAGAGATGCTTCGGCTTTACAGTACGAATGCTGCCTTGAAAAGATATCAAAGCTTGAGAAGGAGTTATCGTGTGCAAAAGAGGTCATTGAGTGCCTTAATAGTGATGTGTCAGTTAGAAACGCGAAACTCGAGACGGCTGAAGAGAATTGCAAGTTCTTAGAGAGGTCGAATTTGTCTCTGAAAACCGAGGCCGAGGATCTGGCGAAAAGTGTAGCTATGAAAGATCGGGAGCTCTTTAACAAGCAAGTGGAGTTGGAGAATTTAACTACACGTTTGAGAGATGAGAATTTTCGTTGTGCGGAAATCGAGGGCACTTTACAGAGTCTGCAGAATTTGCATGCTCGGTGTCAAGACGATCAAAAGACTCTAAAGGTGGATCTCGACAATGTGCTGCAGACGCTGAAAGACGTGGAAGCAAATAAAGGTTTCCTTGAAGAGGAGGTTCAGCATATTCGTGATGAAAATCGGAGTCTGACCGAAAAAAAAATGTGTTTTGCTGTTTCTGTGGAGAATATGAAGAATGATATTCTTGGGCTGAGGGAGATCAAGGAGAGACTAGAAAAAGAAGTTTCGGACCACGTTGATATAAGTGATTCTCTTCAGAAGGAGATTATGAGCTTGAAAGAGGAACTAAAGAGGTTGAATGGAAGCTACCAGGCTATAATCGAGCAAGTGGAGGTGGCTGGTTTGAGTCCGAACTGTTTTGGGACTTCGATTAAGAGCTTGAGAGATGAAAACTCAAATCTGACGCAAATAAGTGAAATGGGAGCCAACGAGAATGCAATTCTCTTGGAAAAGCTTGAAAGCATGCAAGAACTTTTGAACGAAAAGGTTATTTCCGAAAATTACCTGCTGGATATGAAAACTGAACTGGAAAGCTCACAGCAGGTGACAAAAGCATTGCAAGAATCTTGTCAGTTATTAGAGGGAGAAAAGGCCGCGCTTGTTGCTGAGAAAGCTACCATTATATCTCAGCTGGAGACCATAACCGAAACCATGCACAAGCTCTTGGAAAAAAATGCCATTATTGAGAATTCTCTATCGGCTGCAAAAGTCGAATTGGAAGGTCTGAGGGAAAAATCAAAGGGGCTGGAAGAAATCTGTGAACTGCTCAAGAATGAGCGGTCTTTTCTTATGAGAGAACGAAGTACATTAGCTTCTAAGCTGGATAGTGTCGAGAGAAGACTGAAAGCTATGGAAAAAAGGTACAACGGGCTTGAGAAAAAATGTGTAGACTTAGAGAAGGAGAAATACGCCTTCCACTGTCAGGTTGAGGAACTGAAGGCTTCCATGAACTTCGAAAAGCAAGAATGGACGAGCTCCAAGATACAAAGTGAGACCAAATTGGCCAGGCTAAAAGACAAGATTCGTTTATTGCAAGAAGAAAACAGCAGGAAGAAGAAGGAATTTGAAGATGAACTCGAAAAATCTCTAAAAGCTCAGTTTGAGATGTCCACCTTGCAGAAAATCATCAAAGATATGGAAGAAAAAAATTGCTCGCTTGTAGTTGAGTGCCAGAAACACGTTGAGGCATCGAAATTGGCCGAGAAAGTAATCTCAGAGCTCGAAAGTGAGAGTCTTGAGCAGCAGGTTGAATCTGAAATCCTATTAGATGAAATTGGACAACTGAGGTTGAGCATGTACGAGATTTTTAGAGTCCTTGAGACCACCCCAACTTGCGAGCGCGAGATTGACAATGAACAAGCTCTTGTGCACCGTATCCTGGAAAATATTGAGGATTTGAAATCTTCTGTTATGAGACGCGAAGATGATAAGGAACTGCTACTCGTTGAGAACTCGGTTCTTTTAACTCTACTCAAGCAGTTAGAGTCGAAGGGGGTGGAAATCGAGTCTCAGAAGGTTTTCTTGGAAAAGGAGTTTAAAACAATGGTGGGGAATCTTGAAATGGCGAAAATTGAGATAGACAAAATTTTAGATTCCAACAGGAAACTCAAATCAGATGCAAATGAGAGAAATTGGCATGCAGCTGCACTTAAGGCCGAGAATGATAATCTTCATAAGAAGCAAGTTGATTTGCACAACGATTATGCTTTATTGAAGGAAGATTACTCGCGAGTGAATCAGGATAAAAAAGATTTATTGAAAATGTGTTGTGATCTCAAGGAAGAGAAAATTTGGTTAGATCAACATAATGACACTCTTCTGATCGAATATCTGGCAGCTGGTTATGAGTCGGCCTTTTTGAGTAGTTTTGGAAAGGAAAAAGTTTCCGAAATAAATTTACTTCTCCAGGATTTGAACAGACAACTTGAGATCAATAGAAGGCTTGAACAGGGAATGAGCTTAATGACAGAGAAGGTCGATTATCAAGAGACAGAAAATTTGGTCCTGAAAGATTGTGTAGACAATTTGGAAAGGGAAATGCAAAGAATGAGAGAATATAATGCACTGATGGAAAAGGATAATGTGAGTGTAAAAAAAAGTTTGCTTCGAATGGAATCGAAACTTTTGGACTCTGAAGTGAAGCTCGAGGCTGCTGAAAATTTGAACTTAATGTTGTTCGCAACAATAGATGAGCTCGAAAATGATGTTCATTCATCCATGCAGATAAAAGAGAATCTGGAAAAGAATATGCTAGAGCAGTCTCAATATAATTCCATTCAGAAAATTGAAATCGAGAGCCTTCGTATGGTTCAAACGAACTTGGAGAGTGAACTCACTCAGCTTCGTGAAGAAATCGGAGAAAATATAATCAGGGAGCAAATTTTAAGTTCAGAGCTTGAAGAAAGGAACAACGAGTTTGAGTTATGGGAGACTAAGGCCTCAGGTTTTTATTTCGATCTTCAAATGTTGTCCATTAATGAAATTCTGCTTAAGAATAAGTTGCGAGAGCTTGCTGGGTTATATCAGATTCTCGAGAACGAAAATACTTCGAAAACTTCCGTGATTCTGGAGATGAAAGGGAAAATTTGTTCGATGAAAAACGAGATTACCGAGTTGAAATCTCAGCTGCATGCATATGCTCCAGCTGTTGCTGCTCTGAGAAATGATGTCACATTGCTCGAGAACAATGCATGCCTTCAGACAAAGGTTAAGTCATCCCATAATCATGAGCCAGAGAAGGTAAATAATATTAATCTATCTCATCACAAGTAGGTTACATCTCTTTCATTAGTCTTATTTATACTTGAATTTAGTTGGTCACTATAATAAATACTTGAGGCTTACTTGTTAAGTCTGTACAATGCTTTAAGCGATAATTATGAAAAAAAATTTAGGCTATGATATGTAGCTTTTCATATTTATCAAATTTTTCCACATCTTACACAAAACATTTCTAATTTCCTGCATTTTTTTTTTCAGCATTTGGAAGCTGCTACAAACCCCTGTAATAAAAGCACCTCCGAAACACCTCCAGAGGACGATTCTCTCGCCATCCTTCAAAACCTGCACACTAAAATCAAAACAATCTCGAAGCTAATCGAGCAAACAAACAAGCCCATGCTTCGTAGAAGGTTGAGCTCACGTAAAAGCCGGGAAAAACAATCCTCCACAGATGAGACCGTGACTCCCCCTTCCAGGCCCGTCCGCTGCCTGGCCCGAAACCGGCCCAATATGCACAAGGCCCACAAGGCCAAGACAACAAAACCCACTATCAAAGACATTCCCCTCGACTGGACCTCCAGCAGCCGAGCAGATGATAAAATGCTTGAGCTCACAATCTGTGATTCTCTCATGACAGAAAAGGATATAATTTTGGACAATCTCGACAGCCCAAAATATAATAGTAATAACAGAGAGTTTGACAGGCTGGAATTCCCAAGAAAGAGCACGGACAACGAGAAGAGGATTCTGGAGAGGCTGTCGTCGGACGAGGTCCGGCTAGAGAATCTCCGGACAACTGTGGATATTCTGAGGGCAAAATTGGAAGAAACGGGAAAAAAGTGGCGGAAGTCGAAGAATGCGGATTTGGAGACTGTGAGAGAGCAGCTGGTGGAGGCTGAGGACACTGTGGAGTACCTTTGGGAGGTTAATGGCCAGCTTGTGAGGAATATTGACAGCTGTCCCTCGCCAGATAGGAAATCTTCACCAAAAGCTCGGGAGGCCGTGAGGATGAGGCGCAGGAAAGTGGGTGAGCAGGCGAAAAGAGGGTCGGAGAGGATAAGTAGGCTGCAGGTGGAGTTGCAGAAGATTCAGTTCGTGTTGCTGAGGATGGAAGAGGAGAAGAAGAGGAAAAGTGGGAAGGTAAAGGGGGTATTTTTCAGGAGTAAGAGTGTTGTGCTGAGGGATTTTATAGGGAAGAGGAAGAAGAAGGAGCAGCTTTGTGCTTGCTTTAGGCCGTCTAGCAGTGGGAATGGGTCAAGTATTGGGAGTGGGCGTAGT